GTCCGACTAAGAAAATCATCAAAAAGCAAGAGACAAGAATAAAAGGAGAGACCTCCTCTAACCCCCTCAGTCTCAGCTTCTGAATGGGGCTTTAACGTGGGGCTTTCCAACCCATGCAAACATTCATCCCAAGTATACCCATACATACATATATGAGAGTTAAATATGTGACGATCATTTTTCATGGTCTCATTGGGGTCTCTCACGATAATACGTACATGTGTGATCGCAGACAACCAAATCCAGAATTTGATTCACAGCACATACCTGCCATCACATCAACAAACCAAATCAACAGCCCACACACTACACGGAGTCAACCCCAACCACCTTCGACATTCATACCCCTTTGCTTTAGCCATGCAAGCCCCAAAACCTCATGTCCAACCAACCTTAATTAAATACTCAGCACCTTTGTTAAATGACCATTCAATAAAAGTCCGGGTGAAACCTTAATAAAACAACGAAATCACCAGGTCTAAAGCCTTTTAGGTTGAGTGTAGAGGGAGAGTTGAAATTGAGTCGTAGACCGACGAATCGGCAACCGACCTGTTATCAGTGATAACAGTAAGTGATCCTCAAGGGATCAAGCTGGATCTAGCTCTGAACTTGGATCAAATGATCAAAAGGACCTGTAACACACGACAGACCAATCCCCAAGCTAAGATCATAAGTGTATGGAGAATACAACTCCGTAATACATCCTCACTCAAAACTTCCTTATAAGCTAAACCTAAGTCTACTCTTAAGTCGGTGCTTAAGCTGAAGGTAGACCAACTGCAAAATCTCCCCTATTATGGGTGGATCACCTGAATTACCTGTCAAAATATAATTTATCTCGTCTGAACTAAGAAAATTTTGGCATCGCTTCCCGTAGGAAAAATGTCTTTTCATAATTTATATAAGCCCAGATATGGGAGCAGAAATAATCTCTAACTCCGGGAAAGTCAAATTTTGTCTAACTCTCTGAATTAGTAGAAATTTGGGCAGCACTCCCTTTAGAAAGAGAGACTTCCCAGATTTATACTAAGTCAGATATGAAAGCAGAA